TCAGCCTTTTTCCTCCAAAATACTTACATTTATGTAGTAACCTCAGTGTGGGATAAAAGGGCCCTTCCCTTTGTCTGAAGAACAGCAGTTCACCATTTACGGTAAGTATTTCTATATGTTCATGACTGAAACATACAAAATTAACACGTGGGTTTTTTTTTTTAAGAAACGGAAGTATTTCTAATAACCATTTAGAAATAATCACGAAAGATAAAAGTTTACATTTTTCAAATGGGGCACTGGATAATCTGTAAGCCGCCCCACCTCCCAGAGTTGCCTTATAGGGGAAATGGGCATAATAAAAATTTAATAAATAAAATAACTCTCCAAAATTAATGTTTCCCACTAAACACAAATATCCTGGTAGCCTCCAATTCAGAAAACATTGTGTAAATATTTGCACAGCATTTGTTTTCACTTTGACCGGTGCAATTTCAATCTAGCAATCTATTTCTCACACCTAAAAATTAACAATACAGAACAGAGCAACTTGTGGAAGGAGAAGAAAAGAACGAACTTACCATCGTACTATCTTAACGGGGTCTTTCTTTGGCATAATTTGGTTTAGCCATGGTTCAATACCCGGGAATTGATCTATCAGTTGGTTCTTAATGCCTTTAATCACCGAGGTTTTCAACTGGATGCAGTTTGATACATTCTCTTTTTCATCAAATCTGACCAACGAATAAAATAATGTTAGAAACAACCTTTGGTCCTTACGTCTTCATCGTAGACATGACATTGCGGTTATGCATATATTTCTTTGCCAACAAAACTGCAGTGGCTAATCCAGATGAAGAAGCAACACAGATTTGAAAGCATTAAAAAAAACAAACCCAAAAAACATATGCAGAAGTTCTATTTTTCTCACATTTGACTTCAGATCATCGGTTCAGGATTCCTTCTCAAAGACCGTGTTTATGAATACTAATGTGTATTATTAATATTGATAATAACAGTCCATTTTAAATGTTTTATCTTGTTTTTAATTGATTGTAATCGCCTAGAATCCCCTCTTGACAAGATGGGAGGCATATCACTTTTACAGATAAATATATTAAAGTAAGGTATGCTGGATCTCGCCAAGTTTAGTATTTTTAATTGATTGTAATCTCCTAGAATCCCCTCTAGACTGGAGGCATATCACTTTTACAGATAAATATATTAAAGTAAGGTATGCTGTATCTCGCCCAGTTTAGTACCACTATAATGCCCAACATCTCCAAAATATTCATTTGAACCCAACCTATCTGGGAAGACAAACTGAAGAGGTGGTAGCTTGTATTCAGAGTGGATAAAAATCTATGATTTTTTTTAAAAAAAAATCAAAAAAATCTGATTTTTTTTTTATTTTTATCAAATTTATTTTAATGAAATGCTTTTGGAGTAAAAATCTACCCATAGATCGTTTTCTATTTAAGATACATTAATAATTTAGTTTATTCAGCATGAAACGGAGCTTAGCTATGTAGCATGAGGCTATATATTCTGCAATATTGGGACTGTCGATGAGTCAACAGCGGGTTGGAGGAGGAGCCGCTGCAGGACAGAGATGACAGTTGCTTGTTAAAAATTGTTTTTACTAGTGATTTAAATTGTGTAAAATTAGCCTTTTTACTAGTTTCCTTACGTTGGATTACAAATCCACCCTGCCTGTATTACAGTGAACGCCCTAGAAAGGGGGACGGTCAGAAGTTCTGCCAATGAAACGGATAGTTTATGTTCTGTATGGATGTGGGATTTCCCCCCCACCCTTTAACCAGCCAGGTAATCAGGTGTTATGTAAATATTTAATATATTAATATATCAATACTTGAAGGGCTGTCGCAGCTTGCCTCCTGAAGTTGTAGGTGCTCTAACACTGGAGGTTTTTTAAGAAGAGATCGGACAACCATTTGTCCGGGATGGTATAAGGTCTCCTGCCTTGGGCAAAGGGGTTGGATTAGATTCTAGAAGACCTCCAAGGTGCCTCCCAGCCCACTGGGATCCCACTACTATTCTGATTGCATTGATATTGTATCTCACTATGAATCTGAGAATCAGGATGAAATTTGATGAGAGTGGAGATGCCTTGGGCAAAGGGGCTGGACTAGAAGACCTCCAAGGTCCCACTTCTATGCTGATTGCACTGATATTTTGTCTCACTATGAATCTGAGAGTTGGGATGAAATCTGATGAGAGTGGAGGTGCCTTAGGCAGGTGGGGGCTGGACTAGAAGACCTCCAAGGTCCCTCCCAGCCTTGTGATCCTACTTCTATTCCGATTGCACTGATACTGCATCTCGGTATGGATCTGGGAGCTGGGATGACATTTAGTGGTAGCGGATGGTGTTTTGGGGCAGGGGGCTGGACTAGATGACCTCAAAGGTCCCTTCCATCCCTCTGATCTTACGTCTATACTAATTGCACCCATATTGTATCTCAGTATGAATCTGAGAGTTAGGGTGAAATTTAGTGAAGGTGATTCCGATTTGCATTGATATTGAATCTCACTTATGAATCTGGGAGTCGGTGTGCCATTTGATGAGAGTGGGGGTTGGGTGGAGGGGTAATTTGGGGGCAGGAGGGCTGGACTAGATGGCCTCCAAGGTCCCTCCCAGCCTTGTGATTCCTATTCCGATTTGCATTGATACTGAATCTCACTTATGAATCTGAGAGTCGGTGTGCCAGTTGATGAGAGGGGTGGGTGGGGGTGGGGGTAATTTGGGGGCAGGAGGAGGGCTGGACTAGATGGCCTCCAAGTTCCCTCCCAGCCTTGTGATCCCTATTCCGATTTGCATTGATATTGAATCTCGCTTATGAATCTGAGAGCTGAGATGACATTTAATGGTAGCGGAGGCTGTTTTGGGGGCAGGGGGCTGGACCAGATGACCTCCAAGGTCCCTTCCACCCTTCTGATCTTACTTCTAATACTAACTGCACCCATATTGTCTCTCAGTATGAATCTGAGAGTTAGGGTGAAATTTAGTGGGGGTGACGGTGGGGGGGGTTGGTCCCTTGGGCAGGAGGAGGGCTGGACTAGAGGACCTCCAAGGGCCCCTTCCCACCCAGAGATTGCCTTTGTTCTCGCAATCAGGCAGAGGATTTCGGCTGGATTTGGCATTTCTGACCCACCCCACCCCCCAACCCCCCCTTATCGCAGTGTTGTTTCACGAAGCCACTTAAGGGGGGGTGGGGGGGATTGGGCCTACTCCTCTCCTCCCAGCCAGGCGGGCAGGCCCCGGATGATGGGACTTGTAGTCCCTCCCGTCTCTCTCTCTCCCCCCCCCACCCTCGCCCCACTCACTTCTTGAACATCCTGGGGCGACGGGGCGCCGCTCCTCGCGAGGCCGGGCGGAGCGAGGGCTGGGGCGGGGGGAGGACTGGCAACCCCCGGGGGCTCCCGCGTCGTCCCTCCTCGCACGCTCACGCAAGGCCTCTCCGGCCCTCGCTGCTCGTCTGCCCTCCTCGCCGGAAAGGAAACCGCGCGGGCGGGCGGGGGAGGACGACGCGCTTTACGGCCGCCGTCGCAAAACCGCTGGCGCCGAGCGGAAGAAAAAGGCAGCGCCCCGGCCTCCCGAAAGACACGAGAGAGCGAGAGGGAGATCCCCGGGGTTGGCCTCGAAACTACCGTTCCCGGCAGGCTGCGCGCGCCGCGGAGGGGAGGGGGGG